CGCCTTGTGTAGGGGGGCTGCTGAGGGGTCTGTCTGGGTGGAGACACACTCAGTGTTCAGAATGTGATGTGGAGCCTCTTGGTGTTGGGTACGAAAATGTCTCCTGGAGCGCTTGGTGGACAGCCACACGCCCTGCCCTCGTTCACGGGTGATACCCAGGCCTCCTTCCAGAGAGTCTGATGTAGGAGATCTGAGGCGGCATCGAGGAACCCACGTTTCTAAGCGGTTTATTGAGAAGTGACTGCCTTACACACTGCATTGCCTTAGGGCATGCAGCCTGGCATTTTCAGCAGATGGACAGGGCTAGACAGCCGTCAGGGTGACCATCACTGTCACATTTGAGAACGTTCTCGTCCTTCTGAAGGAAGCCCTGTAACCGTTAGTAGTTATACCCACCGCACCCTCAGCCCCAGGCAGCCACGGGGCTCCTCTCGGTGTCTAAACGTGTGCCTGTTCTGGACATTTCCTGCCAAGGAGATGGCTCTGCGTGACGTTGTCAGGGTTCCCCACGGTAGAACATGGTCCGTGTTCTTGCCTTCTGCTCAGCAGTCCCCACGGCGTGGGCGTGCTGCATTTTACGGAGGCATTCCCTGGGTGGTAGATATTTAGGCTTTTCCTGCTTTTTGACTGTTATGACTAATACCGCTGTGATTGTGTATTAGAAATCTGAATTTTTTTTTTTTTTTTGGAGAGGTTTTTGCTATAGGGCGCATGTGCTCGCCAGTAAGAGACAGAGAGACAGAACAAGAAATCACCCCCTGGGCGAATGGCCACCCCACAATCCCTTCTCCTCCATTCTCCTCGTGGGATCTTGGGCACGCATGCACATGCGCCCGGTGTGAGTTTAAGCCACCGGGTCCAGGACTTGAACTGCGATTGACTACATGGGAGTCCAGTGACATAGCCAGTACACTAACTGCTGGTCCCTAGGAATCTGCATTTTTAAGCAAAGGCCCAGCCGATTCCTCGCGCCACGGCCCAGGAGACTAACCCGAGCATCACTGCGGGAGAGCTGCCTTGCTCCCCTGCGGAAACCCTCGCTCCACACTTGGCATGAGTGCTTTCTGCTCTCTGCGTCGTCAGTGTGCAGGGACTCTGCGGAAACGTCATTCCAGACGTGAGTTCCGTGGTCTGTGTGCGTGGTCCCGTGGACAGAGGGGAGGTGGTAGGATGAGCTAGGCAGGACACATTGGCTCCCGCGTTTCCGAATCTAGATGGGAGTGGAGCCGTTCCTGATCCGGGCTGCTGTGTGGCTGGCCGGAGCAGTGGAAGGGAAGGGTCAGAGGGGACAGGCTTTATCAATGGAAGACTCCGTTTCATAATGGGATTTAAATACCCACCAGTTCATGCCTCCCTCAACTCAGCTGAGCCCTACTTCTGACTGTCCGTCCCTGTGATTCTGTTACTCCGAATCGACGTTTTCTTAGGACTGAGAGCGGGAGTCCTGGGATAGCTAACAAGGACGTAGCACAATATATTGTCGTGAGACAAAAATGCCGGGTTGTGAACAGTCTGGTCGCCTATCGACGTTCAGGTGTCGGACAAGGCAGAAGAGTCAGAACTGGACTTTTCAAGGTTCTTTTTTAGAAGTAGAACTCTGATATATCCCGAAACTGAAAACAGCTTCTCAGAGGTGCAGAGTCCCCACCGTCACTTCCCGTTGGTCCAGCCGTGCCTCGAGTGACAGGGGGAAAGCAAGTTAAGATCAAAGGTGGCTAGAGGGGTCTGCGTTTCTAAGCAGCTTTCTGGAGCTCTGATCACATACAGTGCAGGTCACATCTGTGAGGCATGAAGTGATTCTGGTAGATTGCAGTTGTGCACCATCACCGCGGGCACCGTGCATAGCTTAGACCATATGACTGCCACAGCCCGTGGCCAGTACGGGAAGTCATCCAGGGGGTTTTGTCTTTTACCAGACAACCGTTATCTGTTTCTCATCTTTTCATTAGATGATTGGACAGATACGACGAGGTTGCTGTCAAGATGTTCTTTGTTCTATACGCTTCACCTCCCTTCTTAAAAGCATTATTTAAAAAAAATTAGCAGGGAGACCAGGAGATGATGTGATGGTTACATTGCTAGACTCCCACATAGTCCACCGAAGTTCAAGTCCCGGACCCAGCGACTTGAAACACAGGCTGAGCGCATGCATCTGCATGCCCAAAAATCCCCAGAGGAAAATGGAGGAGAAGGGATTGTCATGTGGCCATCCCCCGTGGGAGGGTGATTTCTCACTTTCTGTCTCTCTGTCGAGTGCACACGCCCTATAGGAAAAATCTCTCTTTAAAAAAAAGAACATTAGGAAGTATCTGCAGGGACCAGACTGAGGTGGCTGTAAGACTTGGCACTCCGCCAGGCTCCCCTACTTGGAAGGGTTCTGGGTTCGTGTCCTTAGGCCTCCCTGAGTGCTTGGGGTGTGGTGTCCATGATCCAGTGCTAGCTGAAGATGGGCGTGGATCAGGGTGTGTTGACCCAATTAGGGTGCTGTCTCTGTCTCTCTTTCTCTGTCTCTTTCACTTATAGAAGAAACAAACTTTGAAGGAAAAAAAATAGGACATACTGGTAAAAGAATTCTTCATCCCACCTACCTCATTCTAATCACTGTGAAAAACAAACATACTCCAATTTTTACACATCAGTGACCACAGGGTAGACCTTTTGTTAAAGTGCTGTTTTCTCCTATAAACACTTGTGCCATGCACAGCTCCCTGCGTTAGCAGATTGATTTCTACAGCGTTTGTAATTGGCTGCACAGTTCTTCATAATATGGGTGAAAGAGCTCCCAATTTCTCACTGTTTCATGCTGGATTTTGTCTTCATGCATTGTACTAAGACATTTAAGTGATGTCGTGTATTTGAACAGTCTCGCCCTGTTCATAACTATACCAGCAACAACATACCTAGAGGCTCAGGGTTAAGTGTTTTGGGACAAAGCGTCATTCAGTTTGGTGGCTGGTATACGTTCTACGGAGAGGGTAGGATGGGTTTATAATCGTGAAGGAAGCCCTGATGAACAGTTCACAGAAAACCTCTTGCATGTTAGGAGATAGAAAATAAAACTACTTTTCAGAAACTTGCACACATAGAGCCTAGTCTTAATTATTGTGTTTAAAACATGTGTGCGCATTCTAAGAGCATCGTGTCAGTATAGCCTAACATACGGAAGGAAGTTATTCCTCCAGGAGCACACGGCTCATGGATGCTGTGATCTTCTCTATTCCTGGTTTATTCGCCTTTCTGCCAAGCAAGGTCAAGGAATGATTTTGCCACCATCTCAGAAAGTAAAATAGGATATAGGAACTTGTTCTTGCTTACTTTCAGTGTCATTGTGATAATCATCAAAATAAAAAAAAAAGGCAGGTTAGCCTGGCTGGTGTGAACCGTAGCCCTCTCACTGTTCATTGCACCTGGATAGGAAGAACAGGATCGAGATGAACTATGCCACCGTTTTGTCTGTGGCTCTTCCTAGTCTTAGGCTTATGGATGATTTAAACTTTTCAGTTTTCACATTTCTAGAGTGAACCCATATTTTTTATATTATAATGAAGGGATATATGGAAATAAAAGTGTGGTTCAAGTATTTTTTTTTTAGAAGGTTTGGGTTGAGGGAAAGTAGGGTGGGGAGAACCCATAAAGATAAGCATGAGTACTTAACTTTTCCACTGTTGCAGAGCAAGCCTGCGCAAAGGGAAATCTCTGACCCCAGCCTGGACTTGCATAGCAAGAACGCTTCACGTCCTCTGTGCTAGTTAGGGACTAGCGTAGTTAGCTCAGCTAAGTAAGCATGTAACAGATTCTATTATTAGGTTTATCGTTGCAGATTCTCATTGGATTGACAGAGACTGCCCCACCCAGAAAGCCTGATTTATTTTGGCAGTTGGAAGAGGATTTTATGGAGAACTTGTTATCTAAAAGAAGTGAGGTTGTGGAACCCGTTCCCCCTTCGCTTCTCTTTTAGCTGTTTGGGTTGGTCTTGGTGAGTGTGTGGAATCTAGGGATTACACGCCAGTGTGACCCGAGGGCTGCTTTTGTTGACGTTACCAAACCTCTTACCCACCCACAGGTGTCCTTCCACTGTTGTGTTCCACAGTTAGAGTCGTTCTGTGAGGCGTGGAAAATCCTAGATCCTTTCGGTCTAATTTGTCTTATGGTGGTTTCAAAGTATTTCTTTCATCACAAAATTTTAAATCATCACATGGTGCAAAGTCAAGTGAATGGGGTGGTTATTTTTTTAAAAGTTAACGTTCATCATTTAAAAATGATAGATACTGGGGACCAGCAGGTGGCATGGTAGTTAAGGTGCTGGACACTCCCACATGGCCGACCACGGTTAGTCCTGGACCTGGTACCTTACTTTCTCACTTCCCTTCTCTCTCTCTCTGTTTGTCTCTCTCTGTTGAAATGAATGAATGAATAAATAAAACTAAATAAATAATTCTTTAAAAAAATTATAGATGCTTATTGAAGATACTTTAAAAATAAGGAAGAAGGAAAAATAAAGCTCATCCTTTGACTGGCTTGATGGGAATATCATGACATGTTTTTCGATGTAAAAATGTGTCATGACTTTTCTGACGACCCAGTGTTATTCATGGGTTCACCATGGTCAGCGTTCTGGTCCTGTTTCAGTTCAGTCCCAGAAATGTGTATACACCCAAGTGCCTGCTGCGTGCACATCACTAACATCGTGTGCTACACAGTTCACTGTGGCATGTCTGGCTTTTTCTGTGTTGAACAAGCGACTTTCTGAAACTAGTGACATTGTTTGTGATGGACATGGACGCGGATAATTTTTATGTAACAGCAGCTGTTTAAGTAGCCTTTTAATACACCCTTGAATGTAGGTGTTAACTGGGACAGTCTTTGTTTCTATGCGCAATGAAGGATTATGAGAAAGAAGACAAGCCAGAAGACTTGCCTTTTGCCCAAGTATCATTAAATTATTCAATGGCATTAAAATAGTACCAAAGGAAATGACTGTTGGTTTTCTTTTGCAGATTGAGAAACGGGGGTATTGAGAACTTAATCACATTTTTGAGAGCCAGCTTGTATGTCTTTGCATGCTCAAGTACAGAGGAAAACGTCAAATCCTTAGGTTAGTAGTTTAGTACTGAATTAATAAAATCTGCTTATTAATGACATGTATCCCCTGCAGGACTAAATTCGTGGCATGTGTACACAGTCATGATGTCTCACACCTAGTTGTGCAGAACTCATTTGTAACACAATACCGCGGACCGTGCTTTTTCCCATTTGAGGAGTTGCATTATTTTTTTTCTCTTTGCAGTTAAACACAATGGTCAATACTTAAGGAGCCACAATTTTTAGTGGAGAGAATGCAGTGACATTTGGAGTTTTTGAGTTTTTTGAAAGTGTTTATTCAACATTAACTTCTTTCTGGTGGCTTTAGAAAAGCTATAGCTTTTTGGGACAATTTGTGTGCATACAATTATTTTTTTACTGTTGGGCACATGTACTTGCTGAAGAGTGCGAATGTGAGAGAGTACCCCTATACCCCAGAGTGGGTGGCGGGGATATTCATCCTCTCTTCTCAGGAGTTCGGGCAGGCAGGCACATGGCCCTGGCATGTTCTTCAAGCTGCCAGGTGGGGGGCTATAAACTGAGCCGTTGGCAATGTGGGATCCAGCCATCCTAAGCGTCACACTGCTGGGTGGCTTTCCAGTGTATTTCAGAAAAAGTTCATGGCTTTATGGTATGTTTTCTTTTGCTTATTCACGTGATGATCTGAGAAATGATCTAGAAAAATGAGCGGAAGTAGCTGTCTCCCTTTCTCCTTGGGAGGGACGTGGGTGGTGAACAGCACTATCTTTGTTGACGCTTTCGTGCAGGCAGCTCGGGGCTGTGAACATGGCATTGGAAGCTGTTCGCGTCCTGGCTGCCTCGGAGAGGGCTCTGAAGCAGCAGAGGTGCTCTGGGCGCCGGCTTCCTGTGTGAGTACCTATTATGCTGCGGCCGCTGAATGGGAGGTTTATGAGAAGTGGTTTCCCACCAGCACACAATGCCCTCTCGGCCTCGGAAACACATTCCACTCCGGGTCAGGCTGACAACGACTAGCTAGAATGCCCTTGCAAAGAAGATATTTTGGAGTTCCATTTATTTATAGTGGCCAGTGGAAAATGAATATGTTGTTAAATCTATTTTTAAAAATGAAAGGGAAGTCTCTCACTTAACCGATGTTGAATGCAAATCAATTAGCTGGGCATATTCGGATCTCACGAATTCATCGCTTTACAAAGTGGATTCCAGCTTCTTTGGAGTCACTGTTTGTGTTAGAATTGAGGTTCTCATTTGAAAAGTTTTCCTTATGCCTTAGGAAACCCCTTTTGGATTCCTTGATGAACGCTCTAAGTAAATGAGTAAGTCTAGAACATACACGTTCGCATCGTGGCTGGGTTAAAGGCGGGCTGGCTGAGCAGTGAATGAAGGCCCCGTGATCAGAACAGACACGATTCTTACTTGGGAGTGGCAACACGGTGACATTTGGCTTTACTTCCTTGGCGTTGATCATTTGCTTTGAACCTAGGGCCAGTGACTATAGGTGTTATAGGACTGGACGGGAAGCCCCATCTAATACATGGGGTTTACGGGGTCCAGCCCCTCTCCTCCCCGCGTGCTGGTTGGCTGACAGGCTCAGAGCAAGTGCTTGCTTCCCCTTATCCCTGAAGGCAGTCTGCTTCTCTGTGTTTCCAAAGAGTTACCAAATGAATTTGTTTCACAAACATTGCTCTTTTCTTTATTTTAAAAACTTTTCCAGAGAGCACATGTACTCTCTGGAAAGGACAGAGGGAGCGAGGGAGAGTGGAAAGGTACCCCCGATTGGGGCTGGTTATGTCACGGCCCCTTCTCCTCCATTTCTTCCTTCTTTGGGGGTTTTGGGCATGCTTGCACAGGCACTTGGGATGTTTCCAGTCCACGGAATCTGGACTTGAACCGTGTGTCAGCCATGTGGGATCCAGCTGCCTTAGCCATCATGTCACTGGCTGGCCCGCGCAAACTTGGCTTTAAAGAGCACAGCAAAAAGTCCTGGAGGGAGAAATCCATGACAGAACTGGGACACACCTTCATCTGGATTAACGTGTTCTTTGTCATGTGTTCGAAGTACAGACTGTCAAAGTGACTTGAAATATGTCTTATAGTTTTACATACAAAACTGCAAATGTGAAACAGCAGTTCCCAAGTGTGAACGGGAGGGCCCTTTGCCATTCCGTAGACCCTTCGTGGGGTCCATGACATCATAACTAGGAATCCTGCTGGTCTTTTTCATTCCTGTGCTTCTCTGTGAGTTCACTAGTAATGTTACATGAAAAGTGTTTCCTGTGTCTCTTGCTTACCACATCAGGAGAGATGTTCACATTGACTTGGAGAACATGCCTCTTTCTAGTACAGTTGAAGTTTAAAACGATTTTTCTATCAACATGTAGAAACCTGTTAATGGACTTCTTCAATTTAGCATTTGCATAAATTTTGCACAAAAGAGTGTCTTACTCAGAGTAGAACCTAAATAAGCATTCAGTAAATAAAAGGACACAGCACCCTTACTTTTTCTTAACAAATTCTATTAGCAAAAATTAATGTCATTATTGTTTATTGGAAATGTTTCGAATATAGGCAAGCCACCATGCTTTCAAAACACTCTACTTGCATATAAACCTTTTATATACCAACTATAATTTTTTGTTTATTAATTAAAACAAATCTCTTTAATGGTCTTTGGTATGGCAGGTTTTTTCCTTTTTAATCCATGAAAAAAAATATTTCTTCTAGAATATTCTGCCTTTTGTGTTCTCACAATTTAGCCTCAATCAGTAATGTGATTGCATGCATATTTCACATTAAAATCTTATCATAATGGGCTAGTCTAAAAGAGTAAATAGATGTTTCCTAACATGAAAGTGTCTTGCACCTGTTCATTTGTTTCTTTGTAGATGTTGTCATTTCTGTGAATTTTCTGTTTCAGTCCCTTCTTGGCTCTGCAACACCTGATATTATGTTAAATGAAATACATACTTGCTTACGAGAATGTCATTGGCTGTAATGATTCTCAAAGAACTTATTTTTAGAAAAACATGCTTTTAAGCAGATTTTTACTGTAGCATATGCTATTATTTTTCCCTCCATGGAGGGAGATCATATATATATTTTTGAATAAAATAAATTTGAATCAGCACCTAGATTGCTTAGGGTTAGAAATCCGCGCATGCATATGTGAGAATTCATTGGCTAAACATCAGTTGTGTTTGATGGTGCCAATCAAGTTAGGGACATTTCCATAACATCTATTCAATTAAACAAAACTGAGTGTGTAGAACTCTACGCAAGATGATTAAGGAAATAATTTTAGTATCCTCCTGGCTGATCAGAAATGAAGATTAAAGGAGGGGAGCCTGTTTTGAAGACAAATTCACCTTCTGTAACACTTGTCAGATTTCAAAGACTGGAAAAGAGGCCACAGCTGGGAAACCAAATTTAGACATTGGGGCTTATCTCAGATGAAGGTTCCATAGTGCTCAGAGGTCTGTTGGTCTGTGTGGTTTCATCAGAAGTGGCCATCATAGTTCATTGTTGGTGCTAGTTGAGTAACCTTTATCCTAAATGTTTTGGAGTGTTTTGGATTGTTTTTTTAAGATTTTGGAATATTTACATATACATATTTTGGAAGATAAGAGTTTCAAGTCTAAGGATTATTTAATTTAAAATGTTATTATTATTATTACTATGATTTAATTTACTATAGGGCATGTGTACTCACTAGAGAGAAAGAGAGAGAGAGAAAGCAAGTCTCCAGGCCTGAGACTTGAACCATGGTCGGCCATGTGGGACTGCAATGCCTTCACCACCACTCCACCAGCTGGCCCCAAGAGATTCAAGTCTAAACATGAAATTAATTTAGTCTTGCATATACCTTATGCACATATTCTGAAAGTAATTTTATACATTATTTTTGTGTTGCAGTGTTTTGACTGTGACCCATCACCCGAGGTCAGGTTTGGAATTTTCAACTATAGCGTCCTGTCAGTGCCTGAAAAGTGGGGCATGTTTGCACAGTTTGGAGTGTAAATTTCTGGATTAGGGATGCTCAACCTACATTACACTTCACCATAGTGTTGTTATTTCTATGTCTTTATTTCTAGATGCCTTTATTTAATGCCTTTGCTTCTTGACTCTTAGAATTTCAGTAAAGTACCGGGCACAAAGTGGGTTGCGTGATAAATACATGTTAAAACAATGGTTGATTGTCTTTGTTCACGTCATTTTGTTTGATTTTATTTTATAGGGTATGTTTTACTAAATCCCTTTGGATTGTTTTTTTCTGTTGTTGTTAAGGAGAGAAGCCTCCAACTTGTTTTCCAATAGTTATTTCAGAAAATAATAACCTTAAAACGCCTGCTACCAAAGATACTGTTCTAGCAATCTTCTCATCAATTTGCTAAGTTGTCCTTTGTGAAAGAATTTTGCACTGTGTTCAGTCATGGCACTCTCATTAAGATCAAAACAAAATACAACTTTAGTAGATATTTTTTTTAAAGTTTTTTTTGCCATAGGGTGCATGCACTCACCAGAGAGAGAGAGAGACAATGATAGAGAAAGTGAAAAAATCACCCCTCGTGGAGAAAGCCATGCCTTAATCCCTTCTTCTCCATTCTCTTCTCAGCATTTTGGGCATGCATGCACATGAAGCTGGTGTGATTTTCAAGTCTCCAGTCCGGAACAAGAACCGTGGTCAGCTATGTGGGAATCCAATACTTTAACTACCAAGCCACCTGCTAGCCCCCGTAACTTCAGTAGTTTATAATACAGTTTCTAATTTTCTTTTCTTTCTTAAACTATCTAACCTAAGTAGTAATATGGATTTGCTAAACCTTTCTCAAGCTATTTTAAAAAGTGGTTTAAAAATCATTAAATCTTGGGCTGCTTTGTGACCTGTTGGTTAGGCAGCCAGATTCCACATGGCCAACTGTGTATTTCAAACCCTGGACCTGGCAGCTTGAGAAATACTTTGTGCATGCCCCAAAACGAGGGTGTGATAGAGAAGGGATGTGTGTGACCATGCCCCGTGGAGGGATGCTTCTCCTC